CTAAATGAGCGTAGATATATTTAGTTTAATGCTTCTTCTTCCCACAGAGTAATTTTCGTTAAATTACGAAGTAAATTTCTCCTCGAACTAATGCAAATTTAGAACGCTATCATTTCAGTTTCATCCCTTGTCATTTTCTTAGAGCTCCGAACAGGCTCCGAGCGATTTTCCGTAATTTCGGTTCCAGACCTCGCACTAGCACACCGCGCGCGTATTAAAAATTCAAAARGGCCGCCACAAAACACAAAACACGCGCGATAAAGGTAGGTTCATCTTTTATTCATGTTCTAAACGGATGTGAGGGCTCCCTGTGTTCTGCACAAGGATTACACAAGGATAGAGGTGTATACCATGACACGCGTGACACTGGAAGCTGGGTCCCGCATTACATCAACAGACTGGAGACTAGTTTACCTAGATCGCGCCATCTGTTGCAAAAACGTGAATCATCAAGCGTTTCGCACATTGCTCGATCAGCTCAACTGAAAACTGTACTGTCTCGCCGTTTGGATCATGGCCAGGTAGCTGCCTCCCTCTCCGTGCCCAGTTCATTTACACCTCGCATCCGCTCTACGACCTGTTTGCAGTTTCAGAGTTACTCCGCTTCCGGGTTTCGTGACCTCGAACTAAGTTATAGTGTCCAAGACTTTAGAAAGAAAACGAGCAAGGGTAAATCAAATTACGAGCTGATAGATCATATATTTGAAAGCTGAAAGATCATATATTTGAACCGCGGGGAAAGATATGAAGACAGGATTGATCATCGCAGTTATACAGCTTACACAGTTGTGAAATTAAAGCCTGAAAAAAATTCAGGCCTGAACGGGATTCAAATCCATGACCTCTGCGATACTGGTGCAGTGCTCTCCCAACTGAGCTATCAAGCCAACCGGGAGCTGGTCACATGGTGAGTTCGAAATATACCACCAGTAGAATGTGACGAATTCAAGTGTATAGGCCGGTGCGTTCCTTTGGGGTGATCTAGATCAGGATCAGTGATCCAAGATCACTCGGGTCATGGTGCATCAAAGGAACCGATGAATCCGTGACCAGAGTGGATTCATCGGTTCCTTTGATATACCATGATCCAAGTGATCTTGGATCACTGATCCTGATCCAGATCATCCCAAAGGAACGCACACTATACTTTGCATCCGCTCCACAACCTGTTTGCAGTTTCACAATTTTAACGCCGCTTCCGCGGGGTTTCGTGACCTCGAATGTGCAAGACTCTTGAAAGAAAACGCAAGAAACGAGCAGAGGAAAATCACATTTCTCCGGCACATGCAGTGTACAAAGCTTAACTTTCAGTAACTGGCTTAACTTTTGGCATGAAACTGGAGGAAATTTGAGGTCTTTACAATATATGAAAGTCACAAAAACATTCTCAAGTTTTCTTTATTCCAGTTTAAATAGTTTCCAAAAACACTTGTTTTGAGCAAAACCAAATATCTGACCTATATTTATCTCACATTTATTTTGCGGTCACCTTTAATAAAGCCACAAAATACATTACAAAACTTTTACACACAAAAACGTACACGAATGTTCCTTTTGGACGATCAAAATAAGGTGAGTTTGCCAGTTTAATAAACATTCTTAATTAATAGGCACTAATTAAAACTAATTACTGCTTATATAATTTTATATGACGCTAGTTAATTCCACATCATTCTTGGTGCTATAAGCTTTACAATGATATATCGAGGTACTGGATGGAGGTGCTCTGTTTTCAGTTAAGTCAGTTTAGCTGAGTTCTCAGCTTTCAATTAAACTTTCAGCTGACTCCTCTGGCATCAGTAAATTTTGCAGATTTCGGATCAGCTACAAGCTGAAAAACGCGCTATTTGTCAGCTGACAGATACTTAAAATCTAAACAATTCTCCGCTATCAGTCACACCAGATCTCTGATGTAGGCTGGTACATTTCTTCTGTAAATTCATTTTGGTGCGACGCACTCGTGAACCGGCTCTACCCAGTGTAAAAGTTGAAAATCTCTTAACGTAACCATTCAACCTGCTTTCAATGGAAAGAGAGAGTTTTTACATTTTTAACCCTTCTACAGTACAGCGACAGCAGCATTCTCCACTCTCAAAGAATACAACGCTAGCTTGTTTTATTTTGTAGCTATCATAATATTGTTGTATTAATATTGCTTCCGTCCATTCCAAGGCGATGTAAGTATTGTCTGTTACGACTTCGCACTTTGATCTGTTTTCCGTATCTCGTAGAATACCCATCTATTTGTCACACACAAGTCAAGGAAGCTGAAGTAGAAAACACAAAAACACAAAATCCTAATTGTAATATTAGAGTATATACCTCTATGGACAAGCCCCTACCCCTGTCCCCACAATTTCCTGTGTTGGTTCAATAGGCGATATTCGTATTCCCGGTACTGGACTGGAACTAGCTTGCAACTGAGGCTAATACTGGGGATTTTTTCAAATGCATATGACATTTATCTCTTTTTAATGATATTCCCCGCATGAACCTCCATTGCAAGCTAGTTCCAGTCCAATACCGAGAATACGAATATGGTCTATTCTGTTTACAGTCGGCATCACTTAACGCAGAAACTTGCTTTACTGGTTTTCCACATAAGGTGTTTCGCCAGGTAGGCTGGGTTCAATGAAAGGTCGGTTCAATCATTTGTCGCCAAGCCTTCCAAAGTTTGACAGCAAGTAAAGGGTAAGTGAATTAAGTACCAGAGACTTTGCTGAAGGAGAAACTTCCAAAATTATTGCTGGGGAATCACTGAGAATTTGTCCACGAATCGCAAGTTCGATCACAAATAAAACTAGCCTGTGAACAGGCTCCATCCTCGACAAGAGAGCCTGTTCACAGGTGAAGATAAAGCATGTGAAGCCTTGGAGCTGACTGGCTCATAGCTGCCGGAGCTTAGCCCGGTTTCTGTAGCATGAAGCGGCTAGGAACACTTCTACTCCCCCTGGACGGGATGCTAATCCATCGCAGGTCACTCCCCCGCAATTTGTTAGGTTTCCCCAGCAATTCGCCGGTACCCATTTATACACCTGGGTGGAGAGAGGCACTGTGAGAGTTAAGTGTCTTGCCCAAGAACACAACACAGTGTCCCTGGCCAGGGCTCGAACCCGGACCTATCAATCCGAGGACGAGCGCACTAACCATGAGGCTACCGCGCCTCCACATGCTTTCGCCCCAAATGGTTGTGCTGGAAGAGCTGTAAGTATGGAGTGGAATGTGTAATGAAAAACAGAATTATTATATTTATGGGTAAATTCAAGGCATCATGAAGCAGTTTCTACAGATAACAACCCACTGTGTTTGTAGTTGCTTCCGGTCTCATTATGGACACATCGTTAGCCCTTTGCAGCAGAACTTGATTGGTCTAATTAGACAATCCAGGCTCATAATCTAGATTACTTGATTAAAAGATACTTTTCGTGGTAGGAGGGTACAAATGCACCTTCTTTTCTGTACTCCACAGGACATGAAAGCTTAGCTAACTGTTGCTCATACATTAGTAATGCTTCTGGCTTGTTAAAGCTGTTACCCTGAAATAAGCACACCTTGGATTATTGATAATGGTGTACAGTAACTACAAGACGCTAACCATAGATATAACTAGTAATTTTAATTAGTGCTAATAAGTGTTGTAAGAAAACTTCGCATTGCTCAGCATTTCTGAATCACAAGATTTTCGTAAGGTCATCATATAAACCCTTGAAACAGTCCTTGACTTTGCAGAACCTTCCAAAAGGGCTGATGGACTACCTCAGTCATGCCAATTTTTTTATGGGGGATGGCCATTCCCTTCATAGAAAATCAACCAAACAATGAAGCAACCAACTAACCTACCCACCCACCCACTGAAGTGATGAGATGCAGACATCATGTAATCATACCTGAGTAAAATATTTTCCATTGGGTGAAAGAACCTTCAAGGACAGATCAAGAATTAATCTCAAAAAATCCCACAAGGAACCTGCAGGAAATTGTGACAACATAATCCGCTGAAATTTCACCATAAAACAAAGACTTAGGGTAACATTTAAGCTTTAAGGTCAGAAAAGCTATTTCAGGATGCTGTTAATAAGCCAGCAATAGTGTCCAGACTACACCAAAGAAATTTGAAAACAGCTTTTTTTTACTCTGAAAATGCAGCAAATGTTTTCTGTCCACGCTACCGGTAAGCCAGAGAAATATGAAAACACAACTATCGTTTTGGATTTGTTCTTAAAGAAATTTCAGACAGAGAGAGATCACATGATTATCCTGATGCAATCATTTTCAAAAAGCTCTGTTTTCAAAATGTTTTCTGTCCTAACTAAAACACGGTCTTTGTTTTCAAATTCCTCTGATTTGAAGAGCATTCTCAAAAAGTTCCATTTTTGTGACAGATTAGTGTGGATGGCAGGCCTAACTGAAGAAATAAAGCTACTTTTTCAAATATCTCAGGCATACATGTATTGTGGACAGGGCCATATTTTTTCCTTAGCTATAAAATCCCTTTTCTTCTGAACATTGGTATTAATAGAAACATGTACCTCTTGGTTCTTTGGTTACAGGAATGGCTGTTAAATCATTGATAACATAGTCAAATGTCCTGCCTTCCTTAATGTATTGTTCTAACTGTTTCACACAGTCATCTATGTGTACCTATGGTAATAACGATTTTTAATGTCAGGTATACTTTGTTAACGACTGAACATTGCAATTGTTGCAACAACTACTAAAGTAGGTTTAAAATTTTAAGTGCTGATGATTTGGACAAAATACCATGTCAGCCAGTCAAGCAATCTTGTTGACCTGAGTCAACGTCATCATTATCGTAGTCCTAGCTCTCCTCTGGGAGAATAGGGCCATAACCTGAGTCAACAAGCTAAGTGTCAACCTGACAAGGTTGATCTTAAATTCATGTGTAAACAAAAGATACACAAAGATGATTTTCAATAAAAATCAAGTAAAAACTTCTAATGTCTTGACACAGAAAACATCACTTTACAAAATACTACTAACAATTCTTGCAAAAAACGTTTTAAAAGCTATGAAAAGCCAAAAAATAGATTTAAAATAATTATTTATTTAGTAATAAAAAATATACAAAAAAGGCAGAACGTTTTTGGCTAGTAAGTCATCTCTCTCTTTACCCCAGAGATAATCGACCTCTGGCTCTTGAAAAAGTTTCCTTGCAAATATTTTTAATTATCTATATTGTTTTTAAACCTTGAACATGCCTGGTACATGTATATTTTTCAAAATTTGTCCATCCATACACATCAGCAAAAGAACTTTGTGAAGAAAACTAATCAACAACGATAACAATGTAATTCAATGAGTAACCTTAATTTAATTTAAGCTTGCATGCTATTTTTATACTGTATATAAATGTATCATAATGTTGTTATCCACCTTGTGATGTTCACCAGAAAGGTTATCTAAAGAGTCCCCACATATCCCTCGTAGATATTTTATGGCACAGTTTACGACTTCTTCATCAATCTTGTATTTATCATTAGATGAAAATTAAGGACCAAATTTTAACATAAAATACAGTGCAAATGAAACAACCGAATAAACTGTAATTAAAATCATATCTTTAAAAAGGATGTTTTGATTTATACAATGATAGTGAAATTAAATCAACTGCACCAATCCTAAATAATTGAAAGGATACATCTACCATTGTAACAAACTTAGGGGAGTACTGTAAGAGTTCATTAAGAATACCACCATCTCCTCCCCCAAGAATGAGAATTGTTTTGTCCTTAAAGTCTTCTCTCCCACTTCCTGTAATTGTCTTAGTATACATAATATCACTTTCAGCAAGGTCTAAAGGAAATAATAACAGTACTTGTAACTATTTGTCAGACCCATTACAGTTTAATACTCATTACACAAGCGGAAACCAAATTTTTCCCATGTTTTTCACCCAATCCTGCAAAATGGCAGCTCAGAGATACTGTATGGTCTGAGCAAATTTGTCCTGTGTTTCTTGTTATACATAAAAAGTATTTGACAAATTTTTCGTGACTTACAGTCAAACCAAGTGAAGCGTACCCCTCAAGATTATATTAATGAATTGATTATTTGAATATTGAACCCGCTAGTCATTTCAAGAATGCAATAATGAATTGATTATTGGAAAATTGAACCCACTAGTCATTTCGAGAATACAGCTAATGGGTTTAATGTAAAAAAAAAATTCAATTTAATATTGATTTTTGAAATGACTAGCAAGTTCAATATTCAAATAATCAATTCATTATTGTATTCTTGAAACGATTAATGGGTTCAATATTCAAATAATCAATTCATTAACGTAATCTTGAGGGGTACGCTTCACTTGGTTTGACTGCAATGGTGTATAGAATAAAGACTTTTTTCTCCTTTTTCTTAAAAATTGGCATCAAAACTTAGAAATGTCCAAATTATTGTTAAAAGTTTGTTCGAAAAGTTAATTTTGACAATGTTAAAGTTAATTCTCATCTGGGCAACCGAATATTCCCAGGAATTACCGTGTTTCAACCAAAAATGGTTGGAAAGTGCCCTATTGAGAAACGTCAACTGTATCAACCCAAACTTGTTGTTGTTGAAATGGTTGATCCCAATAGAACACAACCTTACAACTTAGTATGCACGATTATAGTACTTACTGATATCGCCATCAAGGATAAGCATATTTCCAAACTGTGGTGAGTGAAGAACTTTGATGTTTTGGTGAGGTGAATTGGTTTCATATATCAGTCTAAACAAACATAAGAAACTGAAATTTAATCTGAAATCAACACTTGTAAAATATATTAACTGGACTATCTTTTAAAATTATGGTTATTATGTATTTAGTGATTTAATAATAAATAAATAAAATAGCCCTTCAAAAAATAAATTGGCCTCTACTAGGCATGAAACACACAAGGAAATTTGCAGTATACATGTATATAATTATTTATCTTTATAAGATTTATAACAATTATATGATAAAACCTTGCTCTTTGCTTTACATTTACATGTATATAATTTCTTAAATACCTGTCAAAGTCATACTGAATCAAAAGACCATCTTCTGTAGGATAATATGTGTTCATATCGGCACCTCTACTTATTGGTGGCAAAAGCAATGATTTCAGAGGTGAAATCACATCAAATATCTCCTTTGCTAAATTTTTTAACTGCTGAACTTGTCAATGAAAAAACAAAAAGAATTTGTCAATAAAAGATATGTTACACTGTACATATGTACAGCCATATCTAACACATTTATTTGCCAACACTGTATGTGAATATATATTAATTACAATAATATCAACTTAGTGATAAAATTAAACAACAAATAAATTGACAAATAATAGCACATAATCGAGAACATAAAGGAGTGGTTAAAATATTACTTAAGATAAGCATGCTTGGTGGTAATAGTAGCATAACGCTAGTGATTAGCTATTTCTGTGGTCCATCTGAGAACCCTTCATGATTTCCAGTCCATACTGCGCACTCTCGAGAGTTTGTTTATGTTTT